GGGTGCAGGTGGGCTGAAGCCGAAAAGGGCGTCAGCCTGTGTGTGTGTGTGTGTGTGTATGTGTGTGTGTGTGTGTGTGTGTACAACATAGCTGTTTATTCACCTGGGTGCAGGTGGTCACTCATGGTTTCTATTTTTTATTGTATGAGAAGACTATAGTCACCTGTACAAATATTTCCTTATTAAATACTCACTATGTGCCAGGTGCTTATATATTTATTTTGTTTATGTCTATTCTCTTTAGGTCAGATGTCATGCAATCCTTCCTTTGGTGGCATTGGAAAGGGGCATTTAATGAGGGAAGTAGATGCCTTGGATGGCCTGTGTTCTCGCATCTGTGACCAGTCTGGTGTACATTACAAAGTATTAAATCGGTGTAAGGGACCAGCTGTGTGGGGTCTGAGAGCTCAGATTGATAGGAAACTCTATAAACAGAACATGCAGGTAAGAATAGGACATGAGCACAGGAAAGATTATAGTTATGGTTTAATTACCATGTTTCAACTGGCATTTTCTTTTGACAGAAAGAAATCTTGAGTACACCACTGCTTACTGTTCAGGAGGGAGCTGTAGAAGATCTTATTCTTACAGAACCAGAGCCTGAACACACTGGAAAATGCCGTGTCAGTGGTGTTGTTTTGGGTATGTATTGGTTATAGATGATATGTGATAACAGCATATCAAATTACATGTGAGAAATTTATTTTAGAGCAAAGTATGGAGATATTTTGCTTATTCAAGGAAATTGTTGCATTTTCTCTTCCTGGATGAGGAAAACTATATAAATAAATGTAATTTCTCTTTTTCATCTTGGCATTTATGATGCTCAGTCAAATTCTGGTCTCATCAATACTGGGTTCCATCTTAGTGTGGAACTTTATAATCTGCACATTTATGTCTCCCTCTCTCCCCATCTTTCTATTGTAATTTCTATTTTTTTCTGGTTCTGACTTCAAATTTTTAAAAATTTATATTTTAACACCTTATGTATATTTTTATATAAAATAATTATATATTTAGTTTTTTTTTAATCAAAGTAACTCATGCATATAATTTTTTAAAAAAAATTTAGAGAATCTGGGCATGGTGGCTCATGCCAGTAATCCTAGCTCTTTGGGAGGTCAAGGCAGGTGAATTGCTTGAGCCCAGGAGTTTGGGACCAGCCTTGGCAAGAGGTCAAAATCCCATGTCTACAAAAAAAATACAAAAGTTATCCAGCCATGGTAGCAGGTGCCTGTCGTCTCAGGCTAAAGAAGCTGAAGTGGGAGGTCAAGACTTCAGTGAACTGAGATTATGCCACTGCACTCTAGCCTGGGCAACAGAGCGAGAGCCTGTGTCAAAAATACATAAATGAAATTCAGAAATTTATGTGGAAAAACAACCATCTCCTTCCCTGGAGACAGCCACTTCAACATTTTTTTTTTTTTTTTTTTTTT